ATTTAGCTACTCTACTAAAAGACGACCCAGTGTTCAAGACTTCGGGGCGAAAGCCATTTCGGGGCGGTGTTGAATTACACCTGATGGTGCTGTAGAAATATTTGGGAGCGTACGGCAATGGTAACACATCGATAGAAATTGGAAAGTGTCTGGGTGTGGCACCTGGATCTGTTGCGAAGTATTTGAAGCGTAGTGTTGCTGCGGTATTGAAGCTGGAGGCTACGACAATTACTTGGCCGGACAAAAGGGAGGGACGAGCGATTTCACAACGGATCCAGGCAAAATATGGCTTCGTGAATTGCATTGGAATTTCGGATGGCACACTTATCCCTCTTCCTACAAATCGTCTCCACAACGGGGAGGATTATTACAGCAGGAAATCTTCATACTCTGTCAATGCGTTGGGGACCTGTGATGATGTTGCAAGAGTGCGAAACATCGCAGTGGGTTGGCCGGGATCGGTGCATGATAATCGCGTGTAATCCGGATCAGCATTTCCGTTGTAATGAGTACTTGCTCGGTGATTCTGCCATCCAGCCTTCTGATGTCATTGTTCCCGCGTTCAAGAAGCCGCCAAAAGCAGCGATGCATCCTGATCACCACTACTTCAACAACCAACTTGCGAAGGCTCGTATTAAAAGTGAGCATTGGGTTGCTGAAAATGCGTGTTCAGCTGAGCAAGAAGAAAAAGCACATGAGGCATCTTATACAATACGTTACGTACGCATGTATTATTCACAACTTACTTATTGCTGAGCCGATTCCACAAGAATGGAGGAGAGAACTGGATGCGTGCATAACTGGAGAACTGAAAGATGACGATGAACTATATGTGGCTGTCCCAGCTAATTCAGCAGGAGATGCAAGACGAAATCAACTTCTGGGATATTTACTAGAGATCCGAGCTAAGCGGTAAAAGTGCATCAATATCATCAATCGGTACACCTTCATCCAGAAGCTTTTTCCGTTCAAGGAGGAGGCTAACCTTGCGTTGCAGTCTCCAGTGCTGAGATTCATGAAGAAGCTTTGCGGTCTGAGCATTGGCCTCCGCGATCTTGGCTTCAGTAGCTCTAGTCTCGTTTTGTAGCTGTAATTGCCGAACTTCCATCTCTTTTTCCTGCAAGCTGACTTGCCGCTTACGCACTTCTAACTCCATTAACTGTATTTCGCGGTTCTGCGTCAGCTGAGCTCGTTTCAATGGCACTAAAGGAGAGTATTCATCGTCCCTGGTTCTGCGCCGTCGTTTCTTTGAGGGTATTTGCACTATTGATGTTGGCGTGGAAGATCGACCGCTTGCCTGTGACCCTGTAGTAGTCTTAGCATTTGATTCGCCCCCGGTTGAGCTGTTGTCTTCCTCTTCGGTTTCTTCCTTTCTTGCTGATGGATCAGTGTTGAGGAGTTGAGCTCGAGTACTATCACGGTTCAACATGATAGGGTGTAACTGGAAGTAGTGAACAACGTCTCGACAGAGCTAGCGACTAGTGCTTCTTGTTCATTGGTTCCATCTTGGTTTTCATCAGAGCGAGCTGTGGCGGCTGCATCGCTGCCCACGGACACAACCATGGCTAGCGTCTTCCCCACTGCGACGCTTCGAATAGGTACAAACTCGAAAAAAAAAAATCTTGCAGCTCGACGAGCATCAGTTTTGTTGCAGATCGCCAAAAAAATTATGGGCCGATCAGAGAGCTGGAAACAAAATGTGACCTGCTGCAAGAAAAAAAATAGTTGCTGCAGCAGAATTGATTACCACCAATATTTGAATTGAATGAATTGACTACCAGCAGGTTGTCTGTGTCGTCTTCTCGGAGTACTAATAGTTTTACAGCATGTCGCGAGAATATTACAGATTGACAGAGTTCGAAAACAGTAAATAAATAAAAATCAGTAAGAATACTGAAATAACAAAGCCGCACTTCGTACGGAACAGCTCTGGATTTTGTGCTTTGTAGTCGTCATGGACGTAAGGTACATGTAGGGCCCTTAAATAAATTAGATACACTCAACCTACTGACCAAAGTTTGTGCTTCGTAGAGAAAGCATACTTAACTTCTCTACTCCAACTTTACAGGAACATGTTGATTATTCAACCCAATAACTAGAGAGTTCTGGAAACGGAGGCGTTAACCCTAAGCTGCTAAAAATCAACCAATTTGTTATCTGTGAAAAATAAGTTAGTCTCGCCAAAGCGCTCCGATACTGAAAAAAAAACATTGCTTAAACTCTGATTGTTCGATTTAGAGTTTAATATGCAGAGTTGGAGGAGCATACTTTGGTCAAGCCAAGGTGGCTGGTAAACTGGCAAGAGCACCAATTTGTAGAATCATTATAAAAAGAATTCGCTTATAAACAGTTCACTCTTTAAATAATACCTAAAACTAGACTGCTTTCCTCTTTTCAACGCTACCTGGTACATGTGAATCGGATATATGGTATCAACATCGATTGTTTAGGACCGAGTCGAAGTAAAAAAAGAGGTACAGTTTTAATTGCAACACGTTGCATACGAGACAATCCAGTCCAATCACAGTCCCTTATTCATTATTAAACGACCTAAATGAAAGCGATAATAATCTGTTTTGATGCCCGATCTGACCAATCAGAAGCGAGTATATAGCCTTTATTTACCTTTTGTATTACTTCGACCTTGTCCTTAAGC